CTGGGATGCTTAAATATCATAGAATAGTATGTGTGGGTGGAATGGCCTGGTATGGTAGCCCGGCTGACTACCATACATACCACACTTGATTTCTTACAATAAATACTACTCATCTCACCCTAGATTAAGACTATAAATATTTTAAGGTAAGTAATGAGTGCACTATGTGTGTATTGTAGTTTTTTATTGTTTTTTGATGCCTAGTTCTATTGCTAACTTAATATATGTTAGTGTGAATTTGTTATCTAGTATTTGTATGCATTTATAAGGGAAAAAAAGGGTGTTCCACGTTACGGCGGTAGCCTGGAACCTAACCTGCCATATATGTGGGGCCTTCCTGCATTAACAAAAAATTAATTTGGTAGGAAAACAAATGAGAACAAAAATATAATAAAAATCTAAATCATAATCCTTATACATTAAAAAATCTGGGGAAGAAAGCCACATTTCTTTCCTTATTTTTACCAAACAAAATATGAGCATACCAGAAAGGCACAAAACAGTAATGTATCTAAAATTGATGCAACTGGTCAAAAATAACAATCCAAAATTCACTCATAAACTTCGTCTTTTGACTTTTCCTCCACCACAAACTAACCACTCTGTCTAGATTAAAGTGCTCAAATTATGAAGTTGTGAGTGTACACAGTCTCTTGTCACTTAGCAACATACTCATTTACCGTCAACTTGGACTTACAATGGGCTCTCTGACCAGTACGCATACCTAAATAATGTATATTAAAGCTGATTTCCTCTATTCTCTTTATTACAATATACAGTACACTACTGTATATTTAAAACTATACTAAAACTGTTATAAATGGTGCAAAGGTGACATTAAAACAATATCAAAGATGGCTGACATTATAGTATGCTCATTATAGTATGCTCCTTGCTTAGCGATAAATTCATTTACCGACGTGGTCTTAGGAATGGAACTCCGTCTTAAAGTGAGGAAAGGCTGTATTTTCATTAAATTCTTATTCCTTTTCCTTCACCTCTTATGGCAACTTTGTGAGGACACTGCTCAACTTCAGCTGGATAGGTGATGTCTTTCGACCTGGTGCAAAACACAACCCTCAAGAGAAGTTCTTTGATGTCAGTGAAAGACTCTCAATGTAAGGAATTGGTCTTTTCCTTCTTTTCCTTGGATTAAGCTTGATTGTCTCCTACTTTCCCCAGACTAGGCACTGTATGACTCCTACAGGTTTAACACTTTTCCTAAATAAAACAAGAATAATGGCACAAGATAATTTGAAAAACTAACCACAGAATTTTGTTAATATGTTCATTAGATTTCCCATAACTAAATCTATTTTTTCTACACTCTTTCTTATGAATATCAATATAAACCAGTTTAGAGAGAGATGTTTAAAGATATCATTAATAAATATTGTGGTGTGAAGCTTGGGGGATTATGGTGATAGCACAACAAAAGCAGGTGTAAGAATCATCACCCGGTCTAGTGCCACACAACACATGCCCCCACTCTTCAAAACTCTAAATTTACTTAAGTATACATAAAATTCACTCATACTACTGTGCATACTACATATACAGAACAATGAATTCTAATATCAATCCTGCCTGTAAACTCTTTCTTGATAGTTGCAACAGAACTCTCAGGCATAATACTAGACACATAAATCTCTATGATATCCTCTGTGTCAAACTCAACCTGTGTAAAAATTCAATGTGTATAAAAGAACCTAAAATCTGGAACTCTCTACCTGACAATTCCAGAGTCTCTTTTTTTCTGCCAGCCACTTCAAAGCTACTGTTAAAAAACACTTCCTTACCTTAACATGATCCTGACAACAATTTATTGTGCTGAATAATTCCTGAAACCTGTGTTTCATCCATTATTGTTCCTGTTCTTGTTCCATTATTTGTTCAAGTCAGGTATCTTGCATCACCATTAATGTACCACTAATTAGAATTATTTTATTGAATTTGTGAATATCTCCAATATATTATAAACTAAGTATTCTTATTCTCATGTAGTATTGATCATAATTAAATTTTAAGGCTGCCTGAATAATAAAGGCAGCTTGAATAATAAAGGGTTTTCTATAAAGTAGTTTATACATGATAACTACCCTAACCGTTTTTTTGTAATGTACTCCCCTTTATAGAAATAAAGTTTGCTTTAATTACTGGTACAAATGCAGGGCCAGGAGCTGAGTCTCGGCCCATGCAACCACAATTAGGTGAGTACATAAAACAAAGGAAACCTGAAATAGACTCTTCAATATACTTTTGCAAATTTTACCAATTACATACTGTAAATGTGTATCACACTTATGCAATTATTGATAGAACTGGAACACTGCATAATAATGAAAGTACAGGTGTGATCTTTCCCAAAGATTTAATTTGGTTTAGGAATTTATGCAAGTTACCCGATGCATTTTTGTCATCAATTTTAAAGGTTTAACAACTGATATGTATGTTAAGGTACAGCTCAAAATCTGGTGTTTTAAGCCTTATTAAAATAGCGAGTCTGGCTACCCTGCTTGCTTCTTTTCCAGTTTGAATTACATCTTGTTACTCCTGTTATATATCTGCTGAGTGTGGTTGTGGCATTCTCTTTTTGTAAGAGTTTTGACAATTAAATTGTAAGGTGACACTTGGCTATAGCCTAGAAAAATGTAAAGTAGTTTCCAGCCTTACTGAAAATATTTATTCAAATAGGATTAACATTGCAGATGATGGTCAATTAATTGTACAGTTCATAGTACAGTATAATCCTGCTATATATGGTTGTATTGAGTTGGTTGCAAGATGGACCTGCCTAGTGTGGGCCTACTGCAGGCCTCCTCTATTCTTATGATTCAACTTAAATTTGGGGTTTCATCTCACTTTATATATTTTTTTTTCCCCAATTCTTTCTAACTCCTCTGAAGATGTGTCAGAAAATGAAGGTGCTCAGGTATTTTTATGTTATTTTTTACTCTAGTAGTGTTTCATATTTGCAGTTACATGCTATTGTGTGCATTTTCCATACTTGTACATATACACATATGCATATACATACATATAAATAATTATGTATATATATATATACATGTATATGAATATATACATATACAAACATATATATCTCAATTTATTTTGCATGCCTAATACGCGAAGTCAGTCAAACAAGCCGAATTGCCTTAAAAATACACATTTTCTAAAAATTTGTTTCATGCATTGATAAGATATAAGATATATTGATAATATATGCAATTAAATTTTTAATTAAAACCAAATTGACTAAGCCACCTAACCTAACCTTGCTTAAGTTTACTCTCTGTAATATAACTTAATCATACCAAAACTATCTATGATGAGCCTAAAAATATACTCACATTATCAAGCAAAATAATGTGAATTAAATATACCTTACTGTTTTTTGTAGATTTTATATCGCAACTTTGACATGACATTATAGTGAGCACAAGTGGGCTGTACCTATTAATTTGGACCCAACTAGTCAAGTATAAGCAGCCAATGGCAGTTAATGAACTGCATTCCAAGTTTCCGGCTCCATAGGTACGCTGTACAAAATAACTCGGCTGGTATCCAAGTCACAACAAATGTCTTGTGACCCCAAACACCTGAGCCAAAAAGAATGAATCACTGTGTGGTAAGACACCAAGGTCAGTATCATGCTATTAGCTGCCTCATTATTGAAACAAATAGTAGACAGTATGCAAACCAATAACAGGATTGTCCACTATTCATTTCACTGGTACAGTGGCCCAAATAATGTAGCCAGGAGCTGTGACTTGACCCCTGTAACCACAAATAGTTCAGCACTTTCCTTGGCATTATGGAGGACAGAGGTTCATCTTCCAGCACAGATTGTTTCAGTTGTCACACACATGTAACTTAGACTACCAGTCAAGTTTACTTTATCATATATTTATTATTACTGCTAATTTATGTTTGCTAATTGTATATCTATTAATAACAGATTTTTGTATGATAGTAATACAGTGCAGTTCTGTACTCTACATTCTTAAAATTTTTATTTTTATATATAAATTATTATAATTACTGTATTATTAGTTTGACTATTTTCATTATTCCACAACTATTATTAACATTTTTAACTTAAATTTGATCTTTATTGTCATTAGTATTATCCAAATATTTACAAAACTTCTATTACTGACTGGTCCAGACCAGTTAATTCTTTTGTGTTAAAAGTCAGAATATGTTGATATTCCCCATGAATATTTATAATGTCATCATAACAAATTATTAGACAGTAATCTGTGGAAGAATATTACACAATTATTAGATGTCTTTGGTAAGGTATGTTATAGGACTAGGTGGCCCAACAGAGAGAAGGGAGTGCAAATTGAAGCCTATGGGACAGACAACTCTAGGGGGTAGCAGGGCTTAGGTGAAGTCTGTTGAAGATCACAGAATGAAATGGTAAAAACCAAGAAGAACATGCAGTCATGGTGGTGCAAGGCAGCAGTCAACAGCCAGCCCGAGCCAGGGCTATACAAGTACGTACTGACTAAAGGGAGAATTTAAAATCAGAGAGAGAGAGAGAGTGAGAGAGAGAGAGAGAGAGGCCCTTGGTATAGCCCATGGTCACTAAAGCTGTCTTGTTAAACTGTCTAATGCATGCAACTATGACCCATATATTTGTCTCATCACTGGAGTTGTTATACCGGCAACTTGTAATAGACCTTGTCCAGGAGAGGCTTAAATGTTAAGACATTTCTGATGTTTCTTAAGTTCAAATTTCTACAGTCTGAATATGCAAATGTTTACCCCAAACTTCTTATATTATACCTTGTCATGCTCCTTTATATATTGGCATACCAATGGCAGAAAAGCTGATGAGTAAAATGGTAGTTGCAAAGATATTGAAATAAATTAATGATAATAAGTATGAAGTGCAAAATGCATACACCAGGAATCATTGTAAGTAATATGAGAATAGATAAGTCCTCTCACTGTCACTAAAGATTATCATCCATGGTTTCCTCACTTACTTCAGTTGCAGGGAGGGTCTGCAGAAGGAAAGAAGACATGAGCTTATGAACCCTGACCCTACAAGGTAGCATTTACTTGTTACAACCAAGGTAAGGCTTTACACACATCAGCCACTGGGTATGCTTGGTTAACAAATTTCTTAAGTATAAACCTATTGTGTATAGCCAATAAGCTTTAGAGAAGAGGCTATTTAATTTACATTTCAAAATCATTTAAAGCCTAGTCAGCCAATGAAGGCTAAGTGTGTTTACGACTTCGCCAAGGGAAGGGGAACAGTCAGACACATAAACATGGTTGATTATGTCACTATCCAAGGATGGACAAGTATATTAACTTGGTAATTCTTAGATTAGGGATCCATTGAAAAATTACTGACATATTTACCCAAGAAATTCCAATCACACACACAACAGTTCTAATTTTGACAGTCACTTGAAAATCATTTTTGAGTACACAGATACCTTTCTGGATAAGTGTAGGTTTAAGATTTATTTTAATTCTGATTATGTACTGCACTGTGCAATTTATTACAGGATATTTTGACTGGCTGCCATACTGTAAGCAAATTCAGTAATTTTTATTGTTCAGTTTATTTGTTCAGATTAAACTCACCATTAAAAAAAACTATCATGAGCCAATGCTATATACACAATGATCTCATTATAATATCTAATACAAAGAGCAAGTCAAGAAATTATCAACTATATCACAGCAAAAATATCTCAATAAACACTTAACACCAACACCCAATGTAATTTGAAGTTAAAAAAAAAAATTGCTAGGGGTATTCTTTAAAAGTAAATTTATAATACGGAACTCTTATACCAGGTTTTAGTAGGTTAACTTAAGAGTGTGAAACTGGGAAAATTATAAGATCAACAATATTATCAGTATCTTTTGCCCACTGTGTGGGTTGAATGTTGTCAATAAAGGACTGAATTATACTGAAAGTGTGTCTTTTTACCGCCGTGTTGGCATAGTACTTTATACCATTTCTCTTCAACTTTTCACAGACTCCTCAACATCCAAGCTATCTTCTCCTCTTCTGTTCTACGATTTGCCTCTTCATTCAGCAACCTTTCTGCCAACATGTCTACTCCAAAATATCTAAATATATTTATTACCTTACTCTATTCTTTTTTCCCAAGTATGAAACCCAATATTTCAGTGTCTAGTATTCTTATTCTTTTCATCCTTCTCTTTTCAATGTTCACTTCCAACATGCTTCTTTGACACACCCTTACAAACTTCTCCAACTGCTGCAACTTCCCTTCAGAATCTTCCAAAAGCAATACATCATCAGCAAAGAGCAAATTAGGTAAATTCACATCAACACTTAAACAACTACTGCCAAAGTACAATGTTTAAACTTTAAAAACCTGTTTTATTATGCCAAATAAAGGATGATCCCATATATTCTTTACATGTTATTACGTCATTGCTGCTTAATTTTCTGATTTCCAAGTAAAAGCCGGCTTAAAAATGCTGGGTTGCAACAAAATTGAAAGTTCTTGGGTATATCAAACTGGCAAAAAGTGACCTTAATTAAATCTGACCCATTCTTATTTTTCTGGTCAAATGCTTGAAATTTCAAGCAGACATGTAAACAGATATTATGTGTTATATGATGCTACTGAGGCTCATACAATTATATTGGCCGTGTGAAAAACAAAAAAGTGCTCAAGTTATAGAATGTAGTTTACCTTTACTATTTTAAAATCACTGAAACAACCAAAGCTTATTGAATCATACATGAATTAAATGTGTGTAAAAAACTTAAACCTGGATTATAAGAAATATTTACATAATTATCACAAATAACATAAAGAGGAAACAACATTTATTTCAATTTTAGGCATGGGTCACATTCAAATAAATTTAATTGCTGACATTTTGCCAAAGATAAACTCAGGTCTAACTTATAACTTACAAAGGAAACAGATGGCGTCACTATGAGAGATACAGTACTCAAGAGTCAGTTCAAAAAACATGAAAAGCAGCTGATAAATTAAATTCTATACACTCAGTAGATGGAGAGGAATGCAGCTCCTACATAAATGGACTCATAACTACATAAAAAGGATCCTGGCTACTAGTAAATAAATACTAGGCTGCAAATTACAGACGTACCCTTCTGCTAATAATAGGGACATTGCTTCTAGATACAGACTTTTTAAATAGCTACACAGAAAGAGTATAAGAACAGAAACATTAAAACTCATCAAGCAGATAACCATTATATCTGCTAACAGTTAGATAAGCTAAGAAAGGTAAAAAGAATTCTTAGGAACTGAAGTAAATGAGAATATAGGCTGCAAAGGATCAAATAAAGGAAAAGGGATTAGAAGAGGGTTAATGTGTAAAGGAAGAAACAGGATTACAGAAATGATAATTAATCTATTTGACAGTGTTTTTTGGAATATTTTTTCAGAACAGATATAGTAACCTTTTAGGGTATAGAAAACTACTAAATGAACATTACTTACTACAGTTAAAAATAAATAAACCATCAAGTATTGTTTTAATTAAACATTAATAGAGTATCTAATTACTTATTTGTGCATAACAGACAATATACCCCACAAATAGAAAACTCAATATTATATAATCCTGGTATTCAGAATATAAAATTCATAAAAAAATCAAAATTTGCTTCTAAGTGAAGAAATGTGGTGCTTAAATGAAATGAAAAACATATATACATAGAAGTATGTTCTCTCTTTACCAGGTGTGAGATCAAGCATAGATACTGAATATTTTGCATGGTGCTAGGTGTAAGTGTTAATATTAAAAAAAAAGTAGAAGGTATGGTTTTAATTACTTAAGCAATATGTAAAACCCGTTAAATAATTTTTTAAACGGTAGTTATTGTAGAACAATCTTTTCAACCTGAGGTGTCATAGCATAAACAAAATTACTGCTAGACTAACATATTTTCAAGTTCTTATTTCATAATTTTATCCATTATATTCAGTTTTTGAATGGAGCGTTCATCCTGTAAATCAGGACAATATGCTTACATGTTCTTAATGGTGCATTCATCCTGTACGCCAGGACGACAAGCTTACACATTCTTAATGTATCATAACTCGGTACTCAGGAGTAATTCATAAGGGATTAGTTGAAATTGATATTATAGTATATGTATTTAAAAACTTATACTGTATTTTAAAACGTAATCCTTTTATAAAATACTATATAAAAAATAAACTTGTAATCTGTTCACTTTACAATACTTATTACTATTATTATTATTATTATTATTATTACTGTATTACGATTGTTATTATAGTAAGTACTTAATGAGGTAAAAATGATTAATATATTCTACAATGTGCCTGATTCTTGTTTTTTTATTTTTACCGCAAATGACAGTAAAATATCTGTAAATCCATATCTGTAATAAACATGAATTTGAGTGAATTTTACAGTAAAAATTATTAGCAAATTCTATGTAGGTACAATAAGTGATATTGTAACAATAAATTTGATTGTTACTTGACATTGGACGACCATTCATGTCTGGACGAATACAATATTAAAAATAATTACATCCTTATTACCACAATTAAAAAATAAACTGTGTACGTATGTATGTACGGCAAACATATAAATAATTACGTCAACAATTACGTACAGTATTCACGAAGAGGTTCTACAGACGGTGATCAGTACAGACAAATAACTTGCAACGATACTAGAGTGTAGAATCAATATTGAATATACTCACAAAAATGCAAAGGCAATGAGAGCGCATAATACCACAAGGGCATCTAAGACATTCCACAAGTCTCTAAAATATGCCCCTGGATGGCATACAACACCTAAATCAACCACCTGAAATTTGGGACGATTTTATTATATTGAGGAGACTGTGGTACTTTTCAGAATGCCTAAGGTCAGAGATCACTTAAAACTCCAAACACAAATTCAAGTATTGTTTGAAGATTGTTATCCCTGGAAATAAACTCATGAGACAATGATTCAGCAGGAATATGCTTATGTTAATTATACTGTATATGTATAATAAACAAAGATAAAGAAATACATTATTTGAAAAATTAAATAAAAATGAATGTACAAGTAATTACCAATTGTAATCATATGCACATGTTAATATATGTGTGACTGTTAATGGAATTAGCTATTTTCTATTTGCCCATTTGGAGTTATAGGAGGTGGCATGACTTCATTTTTAAGTTTGTCATAGAAGTTTATATATAAAGTATCTAGAGGTTGTAATACACACTCTGCTTGCTGCTGTCTCTTGGAATGTATTTATGTACTTATTTATGCACTCTTATGTGTTTGTGGAGACAGAACTCCAGCTACACATATAGGGTATTAATTACTTATTTTAAGGCTACAGGAGAGCCATGTTTGTTGTATTTCATTTTCTAAAGTCTTATAAAATTCTTTATAGCTCCCAGTGATTCCAGCATTCACTTCTTACTCCAGGACACCATTCCAATAAACAGTTCTACACTATTTGTAAAGAAAACTTTAAAATTCTTACAGAATTATTTTCTTTCTTGCTTTACAGCTGTAACTTCTTGTTTGCCCTGATGATGGTGCACATAAATATCCTTTATCAACTGAATCAAATCCTTTTATAATCTTGTTTGATTAGTGTGTATCCTCTTTATTCTTAACAACTAATGAGGGAAGTTTTAGTGTTCCAATCTTTATTCCTAACACATTTCAAGGCATAAACATCTTACTAAAGCTGTATTTCCAATTCTGGTTTAATGTATATTGTAGTCAACTTTTCTGGCAGTTTGTTATCCATGTATTAGTATGCTATTTTACACTTTGTTAGTACTGTATACCATATGAGCTTCTCGTTATACTTGTGTTATCTTCTGGTTAATATATTTATTTGCTTAACTCTAGATCCCTTTCTGTCTAATGCTTTCAATTTTTTCACACTACATTGTATGGTCTGTTACTGCTTTCTATCATTACATGGCATTATTTAAAATAAATTCTATCTGCCACTCTAGTTGCTCAATTTATT